ACAGTGAAGGAATGATGATATAATTCTAAGTCAGGATGTTGTGTGGCTTGGAAGCTGATGGTGTTCCCATGTATCTACTGCCTTTGTGTTTCCAGATGGTAATGATCATAGGTTTGGAAGGTACTGTTGAGGCAGCCTTGCTGAGTTACTGCTGTGCATCTTGTCGATGCTATATACTGCTGCCACTGCACACTGTGAGCAAAAGGAGTAAATGTTAAAGATGGTGGATGGGCTGCCAGTTAAGTTGACTGTTTTGTCCTGAATGGTGTCAAGCTACTTGAGTGTTGCATAACCCACACCCATCTGTATAAATGTTTATAAAAGATGTCTGAGTTCTACTTCATGCCACTCTTTACTTTTTGTTCCTTTAATTTACTATAGAACTTGAAATAACTCACAGGCGCCGGAATCCCTTCATCCTTCATTTGCAGATGAACAGTCCTTGACCATAATACTGCCTGATACAGAGTCAGGCACCAGAATGTCAGAATCCCTGGCACTCAACCTTTTTATATCAACCAGGGCTCCCTGATTGGACCAGATTAACAGCCCCAGTCAGGGAACTTGTATTCTATCATGTCCAAATGGCTGACCTTGTTACATTCACTACAGCGCTGTCTTATTTGGTCTTATGCTGCATTATGACTTTAACATTTAATATAAATTTCTGCCTTCTGTTTCATTTGAATCACTATATGGTCATCCAGCAAGCCTTAGCTTTGATGCCTCCCTTCCTTTTCCCCTCATGGAAATACATCTACCCTGTGCCTGAACCATCTCTTCTTTCAGGTTTAGTTGTTCGATTACAGTTTTATCTTTTTATTCCAAACAAACCTGACCGTATCACTTCTTTAACCGCTTGTTCCTTATCCTTTTCCATAACTATTGTCAACCTGGTGATATTCATCATCAGTGCTCCCCATTGCATCTCCACTCAAGAATGCTGCACTCATCCCACTCTCCTCCCCAGATCTAGATCCAATCCTGCTTTCCTCTTCAGTGAGATGGAAACAGACTGGTCAAGAAATTCATTTTGTACGCAGTTCAAAAATTCCTCCCGCTCTTTGTTTTTGACACCATTATTTTCTCAGTCAAAATTAAAGTAATGAATCCCCCACTAACTTTAATCTAGCATTGTTTTATTTTTCTTAACTGTAGAAAATACTGGATATACTGAGCAATCTGAATGTTCAAAGATAGAAGACAGATACACATTATGGTTATATTTTCTCCTTGAGGGTGAACTTTGTTGGAGTAGAATTGTGCACAGCTAATGGCACAGAAAGAGGCCACTTTCCCACTGTGTCTGAGCCAGTCAATAAAAGACACCTCAGCCCAAACCCACGCTCCAGCATTTGGTCTGTAGTACTGCAGGTTAAGGGACTCGAGGTGCATATCCAAGCATCTTTCAAATGAGTTGAGGGTTACTTACTTAAAAGGGATTGTCTGCTCATAGATGGGTTAAAATAATTTTTCTTCTGTCTGGCTTGTTCCTTTGCAAAGCTGTTGACATCCACTCCAAATCAAAAGATGGCTCGAAACCAAGAGGGGAAAATATTCAAATCAGACACTATGTTTGCTTTCCAAGATGATAACGTGGATGATCCTGGGAATAATATTCTGGAGGGAGATGGAACAGCCGGCCGTAAATCCCAGGATAGCCCAGTTAAGTGAGTCATGTTCTTACAGCAAGCTATCATAAAACACTGCTGATTAAGACAGAGCTAATGGACAGGAAATGTGAGCAGTAACAGTCTCGATGAGAATTAGCCACAAATCATTTGTTTCTCAATTTGGAGTTTTCAAACATTAGCTTCAAATGATAATCTGCCTGTCCGACTTGATCAGAGTTGTGTCAACTTTTGGGTGGTCACGAACAAAAATGTGAAGCGGGTTATTGTTGTGCTAATCTTGGCCCTGTTTTCATCCTCAATTTTAATTGCTTGAACAAATGGTGGCCTGCCTGCATCTGCTGAGGCCCTAAGCACTGGAGATTCCTTGAAATATTTCTCCAGCTCTTTTTCATCCTTTACAACTATTCTGAAAGCTTTGACAATGTTTTTGCACACTCTTAATACTTCTTTATATAATTTAGTATCAAACTTTGCACCGGGGAATCACGTTGGGTGTTATAAAGCATTTTATGAATAGATTAAGAGCATAGAACATAGAACACTACAGCACAGTACAGGCCCTTCGGCCCACGATGTTGTGCTGACCTATTATCCTACTCTAAGATCAAACTACCCTGCATACCCTACATTTTACTAGCATCCATGTGCCTATCCAAGAGTCGCTTAAATGTTCCGAATGTATCTGACTCCACTACCACTGCTGGCAGCGCATTCCACGGACGGACCACTCTCTGCGTAAAAAACCAATCTCTGACATCTCCCCTATACCTTCCTCCAATCACCTTAAAATTACGCCCCCTCATAATAGTCATTTAAGCCCTGGGAAAAAGTCTCTGGCTATCTACTCTATCTATGCCTCAACATCTTGTACGCCTCTATCAAGTCATCTCTCATCCTTTTTCATTCCAATGAGAAAAGCCCTAGCTCCCTCAATCTTTCCTCATAAGACCTGCCCTCCAGTCCAGGCAGCATCCTCGTAAATCTCCTCTGCACCCTCTCTAAAGTTTCCACTTCCTTCCTATAATGAGGCAACCAGAACTGAACACAGTATTCCACTTGTGGTCAACCAGGGTTTTATACAGCTGCAGCATAACCTCATGGCTCTTAAACTCAGTTCCCCTGCCAATGAAAGCCAACATACCATACGCCTTCTTAACAACCCTATCAACTTGGGTGGCAACTTTGAGGGACCTATGGATGTGGACCCCAAGATCCCTCTGTTCCTCCACACTGCCAAGAATCCTGCCATTAACCCTGTTGTTGTCATTATCGCTGAGCAACATCTGAGTGCTGGACCTGGGACTTGTGAGTTGGGCTTAAGGGGATGGATGAAGAAGCAGGACCACTGGACATATTACTGCTGAGATTTGGATATAATGGTGTGGATTCAGCAGAAATGACAACGCTGAGGGAGTCCCCCTTGCAGCCCACTCTCAAGCTAACAGGAATTGGAAGTAAGTGCCAGGGACATATAAATAAATGAAAACATGTTGATTGTGTTTGAATTTTCTGTACAGAGTGAGCTGTTATGTGCCAAGGATTAGGGTGGGCAAGAAATATTTCACAACAGAAGTGGCAAATGGTGCAATTCAGTGAGAGTTTGCAATGTACATAAAGCCTATCACATTGACAAACCTTTTTGTCACCTGTTCTAATATCTCCTCCTGTGAAATGGTGTCAAGTATTTGCCTGGTAGCATTCTTGAAAACCACCTTCGGAACTTTACTGTGCTTAAGGTGCTATTTAAGTTCAAGTTGTTTCCGCAAATTTAACCATGTCTGATATAGGTGAATGGAAACGTGATGATCAGCTTCCTATGCATTTTGAAAGCATAGCTAATGCATACAATAAGTTACAAAATAGTGGGGTTTTTTAAAATGCAAATAGGGTAGACTTCCTGTGGCAATACCACATTAAATTGAAAGATAGAAGATTTGAATCTCATTCTACTTAAACAGAACCAAAGCCATGAGTAGGGTTGAAGCAGTCACTTAGTTTGCTTTAGTTTATTCTTGTACACACAGAATGTGGGCACCACTGGCTGAGGAAGTATTTGCTGCCACCTTCATTGATTTTGAGAAGGTGGGAGTGAGCTGTCTTATTCACCTTCTGCAATGCATATGGGTGTTAGGGATGGAGTTGTACCTCTTCCACCTTACAATAGTATGTGAGCTGTTTGACAGATGATCAAGATGGATGAAGCTCGTTTGAATGGTGTGATGGTGGGGAGAAGAAGGAAGTATGGCCAAGAGTGATGCTGCAGCAAGTTTCAATGCATTAGTGCAAGGTTAAGTATGTTGCACTGTAGTGCTCCATCTGACGTACTCACTAGCTGCTGAATTTGCAAAAGGGACTCTGTGCATCTAACTCAATGTATTATTCAGCTGCTAATAATCAGCTGCATATAAACTCCTCAATGCCCCAGCACAAAACAATTGTCCTAAATAGACAGATCACAAGGTAAATTAGAGGCTAATGGGTCTCATATAAATTAATAGTTGTTTGATTTGATTTAATTTATTATTGCCACATGTACCTAAGTACAGTGAAAAGTTTTGTTTTGCATGCAGTACAGGCAGATCATACCATACAAACATCATAGGGTGATTGAGCAGAGCAAAGTATATACAGTTACGGTTGCAAAGAAGGTACACAAAAAGCAAGATTAACATTAGATTTGAAATTTGAGAGGTCTATTCAGAAGTCAAATAACAAGCTGTTCTTGGAACTGTTGGTACGAGTGTTTAAGCTTTTGAATCTTCTGCCTGATGGAAGAGGTTAGAAGAGATTATAAACGGGGCGTGCAGGGGTCTTTGATGATGTTGGCTACCTTCCCGAGGCAGCGAGAAATATAGGTGCAGTCAATGGATGGAAGGTTGACTTGCATGATGGAGTATGCTGTGTTCATAACTCTCTGTAGTTTCTTACAGTTCTGGGAAGAGCATTTGCCATAACAAGCTATGATGCATCCAGATAAAATGCTTCTATGGTGCATCAATAAAAGTTGGTGAGAGTTCTCATGGACTTGCCAAATTTCCTTAGCCTTCTGAGGAAGAAGAGGCATTGTTGTGTCTCTTGACCGTTCCATCAACGTGAGTGGTCCAGGTTATATTGTCACTCCTGGGAACTTGACAGGTTACTGTTTGTTTTGTTACAGAAATTTCTTTGATAGTTTGGCAGGCACCTGTAAATCCCTATTTTCTCATAATGGTTAGAACAAGCTAACTGTCGTTTGTTTCTGCCTCATATTTGTTGAAGCTTAATTGCAATCATAACACTTCACGGAGAAGATCAGACTATGTGCATCTGAACACTTATAACTTTTCACTTAGTTTTGATTTTGTTGTAATTTTTTTTTCATTTCAGACTTTAATAAACAGCGTGATTTACCTGCACTTGTTTCTGCCCACCATATTTGGAGGACCTATATGCAAAACAGGGAATCCCGTGACTGATGATATAAAGCGTATTGATGAATTGGTAAGTAAGAAAGTGAAGGAATTTCTAATTTAATTTTTTCATGGAAGGTGGATATCACTAAAAAGCCAGCATTTGTTGCACAACTCTAGTTGCCCTTGGGAAGGTGGTGGTGAGCTGCCTTCTTGAACTGGTGCAGTACTCCAGGTCTGGGAACGCCCACAATGCGGTTAGAAAGGGAATTCCAAGATTGTGTCCCAGTGACAGTGAAGAATGGCCAATGTATTTCCAAGTCAGGGTGGTGTATAATTTAGAGGGGAACTTGCAGGTACAGGTGTTCCAATGTATTTACTGCCCTTGTCCTTCTAGATGAAAGAAGTTGTGGTTTTGAAAGTTGCTGTCTAAGGATCCTTGTGAGTTACGCAGTGTATCTTATGAATGGTGTAAATTGCCACCATTGTGGTTATAAAGGAAGTGGATGTTGAAGGTGGTGGTCAGGTGTCAAACAAGCAGGCTTGACTGAAACTTTGTGAGTATGAATTAATTTTTAACAAAGAAGCGTAGAAATGAGGAGCAGGAGTAGGCTATTTGGCCCTTCAAGCTTGCTCCACTATTCAGTATGATCACAGCTGATCCTCTACCTCAATGCCATATTCACAATTTCTCCACATATCCCTTTAAAATCTAAAAAAAATTATCTGTCTCTTTCTTAAATATATTCAATGACTTGGCCTCCACAGTCTTCTGTGGTGGAAAGTTCCAAAGGTTGACTAGTCTTTGAGCAAAGAAATATTTTCTAATCTCAGTCCTAAATGGCCTATCCCTGTGTCCTGGGATTGTGTGTCCTCGTTCCAGACTCCTCAATCAGAGAAAACGTCCGATCTGCATCTATTCTGTCCTCCTAGAACAATCCTGCCATCCCCAGTATCAGCCTACTGAACCTCTGCAGCACTTCCTCAATGGTAAGTACATCCTTTGTTAGATGGGAAGGCTAAAGCTGCACACAATATTCCAGGTATGATCTCAAAGTCCTGTATAACTGCAGTAGGACATCCCTATTTTGAATTCAAATTATCTTGTATTGAAGGTCAATATATCCAGCTTTATATCTAGAGGACTGGAGTGTAAGGATGCAAGAATAATGCTGCACCTATACAAAACCGTGATTAGACCCTGGAGTATTGTGAGCAGATCTAGATACTACATCTTAGGAAGGATGTATTGGCCTTGGAAGGACTACAATGTAGGATTACAAAAATGAATCTTCAGGAGTTAAGTTATATGGGGAAATTATACAAATTAGGCCTGTTTTATCTAGAATTTAGAAGATAAAAGTGTGATCCGATCGAAGTCATCAAGATAATAACAGGAAAAGATACTATCTCCAATAGTTGGGGATTATAGAACTAGGGGACGTAGTCTAAAAATTAGGGCCCAACCATCCAAGAGAGACATTTGGAAACACTTCTACACACAAAGGATGGTAGAAGTTTGGAACTCTATTCCACAGGCAACACTGGATGCAGGATCAGTTGTCAATTTCAAATCTGAGATAAATAATTTTTTGTTAAGCAGAGGTATTAATGGATATGGGCCAAAGGCGGGTGTATGGAGATAAGCCACAGATTGGCCATGTTCTCATTGAATGTTGGAAATAGGCTTGAGAGGCTAAATGGCCTACTCCTGTTCCTAATGTCTCGCTGCAACTGCCTGTCCACTTTCATTGACTGGTGAATAAGAACACCCAGATCCCTCTGTACATCCACATCTCCCAATATATCACCATTTATATAATACTCCTCCGAACTGTTCTTAACACTGAAAAATAATCTTTACTTTTAGCTGCATTGCACTGCGTCCGCAATATATCCAACCACACAGTCAACTTGAAGAAACAAGAGCATGTCTTAAGTGAGCACTTATCTCAGAAATGTCCCAAAATATTTCCTATACAATGCATTTTTTGAAACCAAGTAACACTTGTTTGTACACAGCAGGATCCCACAAACAGCAAAGACCAGTTTGCCGCATTTTGTATGGCGTTGGTTAACTTAGGATCAAGGCACACAGGCTTAATTTAATCAATAGTTATGAGGAATCAGGTCCTGAGTTTATTCTTAAAGGATAATTGTATTTTGTATTATTTATTGTTAAAAAAAGCAAAACCGAGGCCAGTTGAAGAGCAAGCAAGGTATTGTTGGTTGGAACAGGGCTCACCTGCAGTCAGGTACCATTGTATACTCATTTCCTTGTCAAGATAGGAATTTATTGCCCATCCTATGATGCTCAGAGAAAGTATTGGTGAAACCTCTTTTCAAACAGTTGGTGTTTTGATATGGAGTGGCCTACTATGCTACTTAAGGGGACAGTTAGGAGCGAAGCACATTGACATTGGTCTAGAATCACAAGTAGGCCAGTTGGGAAGCAAGCAAGGTAGCATTGGTTCGAACAAGGTCCCAGCAGGCCTCCTTCTTGAGAGAAAATCAGGTTGGTGAGCATGAGGGAACACAAATCTGTGACAAACAGCACCTCCTGTGACAGGAAGATTTCATTGCAGCACATCAAGTTTTCCTAGGCTGATGCCATCATAAAAGTGGTTATAGCAATTAATAATTAGCAAACAGTGTGACAGACACTTAACAAAAAGACAGGAAGTAAGGTTTTATAGCCAGAACGTACCTATAACCATGTAGTGGGCTAGACTATTAATTCAGAGACCCAGGTAATGTTCTGGGCACCAGGGTACAATTCTTGCCATGGCAGATGGTAGAATTTGAATTCATTAGATCTCTGGATTTAAGAGTCTAATGATGACTGTGAAGCCATTGCTGATTATTGGGGGAAACGCCCATCTGGTTCACTAATGCTGTTTAGGCAGGGAAATTGCCATCCTTCAACAGTCTGGCCTGCATGTGACTCCAGCCTCACAGCAATATGGTTGCCTCTTAACTGCCCTCCGGGCAATAAATGCTGGCCTAGCCTGTGAGTGAATTTAAAAAAACAAGGTTTTTTAACAGACTGATGCTGTTTTCATGCCGTGAATTAGGAGGTTCTGCATGCAAGTCTCAACCCAAAGGCTTGAGCACCAATATAGGCTTGCATTTGCAATACTGAGGTCAAGCTGCACTGCCAAAGGTGCTGTCTCACAGCCGTAAAACTAAAGTTATATTTGCCGTCTTCGATGTGAGTAAAATATCTCATGGAACTATTTTGACAAAAAGCAGGAGAGTTATCCTGGCCAATATCTCATTGCTGCTTGTGGAAGATTGCTATGTACAAATTCACTACATGACAACAGGGACTGTAAAGCGCTTTACAATGTCCTGAGGTTGTGAAAGGCACTGTATATACTTTGTAACAAGCAATTCAGTTCTTTAAGACACGTCTTTTTGCTGATCACATTATGCAAAGTCTTTGAAATTAAACAGTCTTCCTGTAAATTGCTCTTAAAAGGCAGACCGGAATGATTGAACATGTGCTTTAGGCCAACATCAAATTTATCTTCAACCAAATTTAATGTCCTTAGTGTTCATTAGATTCTGCTAATGGTGTCAGTTCACATTGTCAAGTTGTCACACAGCTATCTCCAATCCAAAAAGAGGACCTGTAGGTTTTCATGTGGAAGCCAGAGACTTAGACTTACTAAATCCTGCAGAATATACATTCATGTTTCACACAAACAGGCCATTTGGCCCAACTGCACTATTCTGAAATTTATGCTCCATTCAAACCTCCACTCACTCTACTTCATCTAAACCCAATCACGGATCTTTCTATTTCTTTCTCCCATATGTGTTTATCTAGTTTCCCCTTTAAAGCATCCACAGTATTAACCACAGTTGGTCCTTAGAGGGATGTACACAGAAAATACAGATTAGGAGCAGGATGAGGCCACTCAGCATCTCAATTTGATCCATCCAATCAGATCACGCTCCACCTTCTGCCTGACTCCCTGATAGCCTTCTAAATGCTTGCTTCTGAAGAATCTATCTACCTCTGCCTTGAATATATTCAAAAACAATCTTTTGAGGAAGAGAGTATCAAAGACTCATGATCCACTGAGAGAAAAGTTATCCTCTTATCATTGTCTTAAATGGGTGACACCTTATTTTCAAACAGTGACCCCTAGTTTTGATTATCTCAAAAGAGGAAAAGTCCTTTTCACATGTGAGTTCTATATTCTAAGCCCGTTGTTTCTCCTGAATTCATTACTGGATTTAATAGTGTCTATCCTGCTTTCATGGCCCATAGTTTAGGGATTCCCCCACAATCGGAAACATTTTCTCAACTGCTGCCCTTTAAACTCTTAGGCAATTCAGAAAATTTCTATCAGGTCCCTGTTCACTTTTCTTGAGACAAGGGCCGTAACCAGGTCAATCGTTCAAGGTCTGAGTCATGAGGAGTTCGTTGCCACCATTGTGGCTCTCAGTGAAAGGGAAAAGCAGCAAAAAATGTAAGTAATTCCAACAAATTGCAGGAAATCCGGAACAACAGATAGGAAAATATTATCAGTGCAAAGCAGATTAGCCAGAACCTGTGGAAAGAGCAAATTCCAACAATTTTATTTATTTGTTCATAGCTGCAGGTGTCATTGGCTGGGCCAATGCTAACTTCCCCAGAGAAGGTGATGGTGAGCTGCCTCCTTGAATCACAGCAGTCCATGATGTAGCGACACCCACACTTCTAGTAGGGAGAGAATTCTAGGACTTTGGCCCAGTGACCCAGTGACACTGAAGGAATGATGATATATTTCCAAGTCAGAATGATTAGTGGCTTGGAGGGGAACTTGCTGGTGGTGGTCTCTCATGTATCTGCTGTTCTTATCTTTCTGGGTGGTAAAGGTTGAGGGTTTGGAAGGTTCTGTCAAAGGAGCCTCGGTGAGTTGCTGCAGTGCACACTGCCGTTGCTGTGCATTGCTGGTGAAGCGAACAAACTTTGAAAGTGGTAGTTGGGGTGCCAGTCAGTGAGCTGCTTTGTCTTGGGTGGTGTCGAGCTTCTTGACTGTTGTTTAAACTGCACCCATCCAGGCAAGTGGGGAGATTTGCATCATGCACCTCACTCGTGCCTCAGATGATGGGAGTGCATTGGAGACAGGAGGTGAGTTAGTCATCACAGAATTCACAGCCTGTGACCTGTTCTTGTGGCCACTATATTTATACGGCTGGTTCACTTTAGCTTTTGATCAAAGGTAACGTCCACGATGTTGCTTAGAGGTTATATCAAAGCAGAGCGTGGGCTGGTGATGATGACGACCATGGCTTTTGTCTGTAATTTCTGACTGATGGGTTGTGCGGTTCCAGCTGTGTTTTTTTGTTGGCTTACTTTCAATGCTGTTGTCTTTCTGGCAACATTAGCTGTATACATTTTAAACAGTTAACTCACTAAAGGGGAAATTCACTGTTTGTGAAGTGTCAGATTATTTTTATACTTCTTAAAATGTTCCTTTTTTGTTTTGTTTAGGTTGGAAACTTGCCAAATGATTATAAAATCCAGATAAAATATATTTCTAAAATCCCTAATGTGGTATGTATATTTTGATACAGTTTAATAAGTTGTACATGTATTTGAATCACTTCATGTCTCATCTTATTACTCTACACAAACATTGGTGAAAAATAATGCTACCTGTTTGGCTTCCTTCTTTCCAATCCACCATCTACAAGGCATATTATCAGGAGCTTAATAAAATGCTCCCCATTTGCCCAGATGAGTGCAACTCCATCAACACTCAAGAAGCTTGATACCATTCAGGACAAAGCAGCTTACTTGATTGGCACCCCATCTACCTACAATGCATGTACTGCAGAGATTGAGAAGGCAAGTCATAATGGTCTTCTCAAGAGCAGTTAGGAGTGGGCAACAAATGCTGGCCTTCCAGCAATGTTGAATGCCAAAAAAGAATAAAAGAAATCTCAAGTTTGCTGCAGCTTCGTGTTTACAATTGCAACTCTACAACATGGCTGACGCACATGCGTGATCCCAGAGTAGGATACCAACTGTGATTGGAAGCATTCTTGGAAGTTTCATTGTGTGACCTCCCACCCCATCGAACAAAACACTGTCGTCTCCTTCCCTAATATTTCTATGATAAATGGAAGTAGTCAAATAAATCACAAGAAGAACTCTAGAAATTAGATTTGATGCCTTTTCAATTTTCCCCTACGTCCTGGAGCCCAAACCGAACACAGCCAGACACAATGCAACCTGAGGGACTGGGAAAAGGCAGTCTTGAACTAAGGAACAAAAAGAACAAGAGAAAATTAACCTTGATTTTTATCTGTGCTATTACAACGTTCTCCAGTTAAAGCAGAAGCTGAAATTTGCCATTCATTTGTAAGGGAGTCATAGATAACTCTTTCCTGACAATGGCAAAGTCATGGGATTGATTGTTTTAATGTAACTTGGAACATGACCCAATCGGATCTGTTACCCAATTTCCAAGCTACCTCATTTGTATTTCAGTTCGCTGAGTGACAGATGGTAGAGGTTAGTGGTGAACTTATGACATTTTGGATGAGAAGGTGTACGGTTAGTCAACTGTTTACCTTGAGGGACATTAATGATCTCGAGTGTGCAAGGAATGATTTCAAAATTTGCAGCTGACACATGGTTGTGAAAAGTGAGGTCAGACTTTGGGGCTGAATGGCCTACTCTTGTTCCAAATTCATATGTTCATATAGCAGAATCCTTGAATATCTTCAACGCAGAGGTACATAGATTCTTGTAAGGCAAGGGGTGAAATGTTATTGGTTGGGAATGCAAATTTGAGGTGGCAAACAGATGTTATGCTCTTATTGTGGAATGGACCAGATTCAAGGGATTGAACGCTCTGATCTTACTCCTAATTTGTATATTCATACCTTCATCTAGATTTCAAGAGGACGGCGGTAGGCTGATGGACTGTGCAGATATGTGACCGATGACGTTTAATGCAAAGAAGCCTGAAGTGATACATATTGGCAGTAATATAAGATAACAGATACCATTCCAAAGTGGGTGCAGGAACAGGGGGATCTTGCATAGTTCATTGGAAGGTGTCAGGGTAGGTTGAGAATATGTTTATAAAACCATATGGGATCATGAGCTTTAAACACAAGTACAACCATACCAGTAAGAAGGAGTAGGCCATTCAGCCCTTAAGTCCACTCCACCGTTCAATAAGATCTGATTGTGGCCTTAACTCCACTTTTCTCTCTACTCTCTATATCCTTTGACTGCCTTGCCAATTTGGAATCCACTTAACTCAGCTTTGAAAATGTTCAATGACCCTGACCCCTACTACTCTTTGGGAAGAGGATCGCATTGACCAACAAGCTTCTGAGACAAAACATTTCCCCTTATCTCTTTCGTGTTTTTAAGCTTTCCCTCAAGGGGAAACATCCGTTCAGTGCCTACCCTGTCAGGACCTTTCAGAATCTTACATGTTTGAAGAAAGTCACCTCTCATTCCTCTAACTCCCAGTGGATTTAGCCACAACCAGTCCAGCCTTTCCTCATAAGACAACCCATTCATTCCAAGATGATTTATGAGAATGGCTTCAGGGATGTGGGAAATCAGTTACAGAGATAGATTCAAGAAGCTGTGGTAGTCCTCCTTAGAAAAGTGAAGATTAAATGGAGATTTGATAAAATCATTACGGATTTAGACAGAATACATAAACAGAAATTGTTCCCATTGGCGGAAAGGTCAAGAACCAGAGGACACTGATTTAATTTGAATGACAATGTAGCGATGTGAGGAAAATCTCCTTCATGCAGCGAGTGTTCAGGATGTGAAGTGCACTGCTCGAGAGTAAGTTCAATCAAGGTTTTCAAATGGGAATTGAATCAGAACCCGAGGAGAAAATAATCACAGGACTGAGGAGGAATGGTGCGGGAATAGAAATAACCGAGTTGCTGATGGAGACAGCTAGCATAGTTTCAACAGACCTTCGGTGCTATAACCGTTATGATTCTGTGATGTCAGCTGAAGCTGTGGCTCATTGTCTCATTCATTCAGTATGGTGTCCCCAGAGGTATTGTTCTTTAGTCCAAAGTTGTAGATAAAGCCATAGGAATGTGTTGTCAACCAGGTTTGAGAACAGGAAGAGCAGGGCAATTTGAATGCCATATTCAACTCTTATATAATTTTGACAGGATATCAGTATCTCATTTGTGTCTTCGAGAACCTTACAAGTAATGATATATGTTTGAAATGCAATCATCATTGTTCTGAGATAGAAAGCACAATAGTCAAGGGTCTCATGGCATGTACCTAGAAACAGCAATGAACCAAAATACTGATTAATCATTTCTTGGTTGACGGATAAATTCTGGCCAGAAGATTGAAGACAACCACACTGCCCTTCATCAAAACTGTGGTGCCACGGGATCTTTTATGGTCATCTAACTGAACCAGCAAGACGTCAGTGTGACACTTTAAAAAAAGACCGTGCAACACTCCCTCTGTACTGAATGTTTCATGTTCAAGTGTCCAGAGTGTGTCAATCCTGTGACACAACAACAGCAACTTGTAATTATATACTGGCATCCCTAAATAATGTATTCCAGACAGAGCATTACTCAAGAGCTAGTTATAAGGTGGTTCTTTCTGTTGTGTAAGGGCTTTAGGACTCAGGAGCAGCCTTTCGATGATTTCATAGAATTGCTCTAAATTAGCATAAATAGCACAGTGTGGGTGGAATTAAAAAAAGAAGACAGAAACACACGGAAAGTTAGTTGGAACCCTGAAGCCTGGCCGTGTGAACACTAGAAACGCGCAGAGAAGCGTGGAGAGTAAACTGACTCATATGAGGTGGTAGAGTTCATGGCATAGTCTTTCAATAATGTAACATGAGATTGGAGTCTGTATTTCCCGGAATATCATGCATTGTAGTATTCAGTCTTAATATGTAATAAGCAATGTTGTAACCCAAGCCTGAAGACAGTTGTTTTCTGTCGCTTGACTTTCTGTCCTTTCTGTGGACGTGAAACCACAAAACAAAAGACTTTCAAGAGTGCAGTGAAATCCTTTGACTATCCTAATTATCTGAAAGGCAGCATCCAGCTGCAGATTTTTGTGTTTGTAGATTTGACTTTGTTTAATCCCATCCAGCAGGACAGCTAGCAGTAATTCTAATTAAATTGTTATGGAACTTGCATTTCTCTTACACCAGATGTTTCACAAAATTTGTAGTACTTTTTCGATTTTTCAGCGTATTTATGGACAAACAATCAGCTCTCCATCCTCTTTGTGAATGTCAGGAACTTTAATCTTTGAGGAAAAGAATATGGCAAGTTGTTGTCACCTCTAAAGTCAGATACTTTAGATACTTTGTCAGATACTTTAGAGACTTTTAAGCGACTCTTGGATAGGCACATGGAGGATAGTAAAATGTAGGATATGCAGGGTAGTTTGATCTTAGTAGGATAATAGGTCGGCACAACAGCGCGGGCCGAAGGGCCTATGCTGTGCTGTACTGTTCTATGTTCTATGTTCTAATGTAGGCAGTGAAATCGGAGTATGTTAAAAGAGAGGTAAAGTTCAATCCCCAAGACTTGAGTTATTTATTGACTTGCAGGGGATCTTGGAATACTTGAATTTTCTTCCTGTTTGAAGTCCAATTTTTATAATCTAGAATTCTAACATAAATCATCAACTAAATATATCAATCGCCAAAGTTGCTGAGGTTGCATATTTTGAGAATATGCTAAATAATGTCTTTGCTATCTTGGAGCCTTACATGGACTCACATTATAAAGCATTCAGCATGATAGTGATATCTTTGTGCCACCCTTTACATGTAACAAAATATCCTGTTTCTTCAGAGGAGCATTATTAACCAAATATTGATTGAGTCAGAAGGGCAGGTGACCAAAATGATAATTTTTAATTTCATTCCTGGGATGTTGGTGTGAGTGACTGGTCCAGCATTTGCACCATCATCAGTGACTGCCCTTGTACTGAGTGGTTGCTGGGCAGTTAGGAAGCAACCACATTGTTGTCGATCTGAAGCTACATGTAAGCCCTTCCCTCAATGCCGTTCGTGAACCAGACAGGTGTTTACAATGATCAACAATAGTTTGGTTGTCATCTTAATTCCAGATATTTATTGAATTTCACCATCTGTCATGGATGGGATTATGAACCCACGCTCTCACAATTTAAACTGAGACACTTGATTACTAATGCAGTGACATTATTACGACACCACCACCTTCCCAAGTTTTAAGAATCATCTTAAAGAAAGAAGGAGAAGTAACAAGGGCAGAGAAGTTTAGGAAGGGAATTCTGGAGCCTAGGACCTAGGGAGCTGAAAGGCACAGTTACCAATGGTGGAACAATTAAAACTGGGAATGCTGAGGAGTCCAGAATTAGCTAAGAGCAGATATCACAGAGTTTTGCAGGTCTAAAGGAGATTACAGAGCCACAAACCACAGCTGACAATGATGCCGAGAAGGTGACAATTCCCCTATGCCATGGTTCAAATTTGGAACATAACATCTTCCTGCTTCTCAGTAATACCTACGTGATTTATTATATTGTGCAGCCTAACAGAAAGATTTGACATCTTGGCTTGCTGTGTTATTCAAAACTACACAAACCATTCCCAGTGCACTTCATCAAAAACTTCCAAGCAAAACAAATCATTAAAAAGCCATCAAAGCATAGTAGCCGCTTATTTATGTTTGGTTCTGCGTTGTGAAATCCCCAGATTGTCTCATACTTGAGCCAACTAATTAAGTTTAAAGTGACTTGGAAATAGTAAGGACTATAGATACTGGAAGCTAGAGTCAATAAATGTGGAGCTGGGAAAACACAGCAGGTCAGACAGCACCCGAGGAGCAGGAAAGTCAACATTTCGGGCTGAAACACTTCGTCAGGATTGGGGGTGGGGTTGGGTGGGGGAGGGGTGCAGAGGGGAGCCCAGAAATAAATCAAGGGTGGTGGTGGGGCATGGGGGAGGGTAGGTGAGATGGCGATAGGTGGCTGCAGGTAAGGGGTTATTCTGGTTGGTCAGTGGGAAGGATGGAGTGGATAGGTGGGCAGGAAGATGGACAGGTTGGAGGTGGAGAGATTTTGAAGCTGATGAAGCTGGTATTCAGGCCATTGGGCTGTAAGCTCCCAAAGTGAAGTATGAGGTGTTGTTCCTCTGGTTTACGTTTGGCCTCACTCTGACAGTGGAGGAGGCCAAGGATGGACATGTGACGGTGGCAGTGGGAGGGGAGTTAAAGTGGATGACAGCCGGAAGGTTGGGTTGGTTGGTACATGCAGAGCACAGATGCTCCATAATCTGTGAAGAGAAATCAGAGTTAACATTTTGGGTCCAGTGACCCTTCCTCAGAACAGTACTAGAATTGTTTACAATATTCTAGGTGTGTCTGTCCAGTGCTTGTATAGCATTAGCAAAACTTCCCTATTTTTATACTCTATTCCCTTTGAAACAAAGGCCAACATTCCCTTTGCCCTCTCTATTAACCGTTGAACTTGAATGTTAGCTTGTTCACAGGTAGATTTTCTCAACGTCGTGTTTTAGGTAAAAAAACATGTCTCATTCATTAAGTCCTGAAGTCCTGTGTAGTCTGATAGCCAACCGCTTAATGCCAACACATTTGCATTAGACCTTCTGACCGTTGAGTAATTTCTGAATTCTTTCTCACTGTGCAGACTGATACATGTTGGCTGCGTTTAACAGTGTCTGAAATGTCATTCAGCTTGGATGGACTTCTCGAAAAGTTTGCCAAGAATTCGTCGAATTATTTAATTATCGAAAACCTGCACCGGGTTCTGGATGGTATTCACAACTGCCTATATGAAGACAGGAAGGTACAATATTTCCGTGTTTCTGTATTTGCATGTTTAACCTGACAATGTCTTCCTTTGACTGTCTGCAGTTGAGCAGTCATGATGCATGGGTCAGTTGCTACAGGCTTCAGTTTCCCCTTCATGAGGGAAAGAGAATATCCTTACAGAACTTCTAAAGCATTTCCATTATGCATATATTTGGAGATAGTGGAGTTGAGATCAAAGATCAGACCTGATCTTCATGAATGACAGGGTTGGCTAAAAGGAACAAATGGTTCAGTCCAGATCTTCTAGCTTGTGTTGCATGCACTTAAAGCAGACTTCAGATAAATAGATCTGATGTTTAACTTTCTCCACATTTCTGTTCAGGACTATCAGGAAGAATCTGAATTCAATTGTGAAAAGTCCAATCTGGAGCCTAAACAATACTTCAGTTACTTCAATGAAATCATAACTGCATTCCAATTAGCAGAGGATACCAATCCATGTGATGCAGAGGCTGTTTGCAGGCCAACAGAGCCACCAGACGCAGGTAGAAATTTTGATATTCCATAAGTATTGTTGACTTTCTTTAAGCATTGATGTGAGATTTAATGCAAGATGCTGGTGCAAAGGAACCTCAGCAATGATTGAATTTTTCACTTAGAGTTACATTTCACTCTTCCTTTCAATTACACATGTATGCTGTACCTCTGAAAGGATACAGTGGCATTAGAGGAGCGCAAGTTGGTCAGAATGTGACTTGTTAGTGTGTACAGATTGAAGTTGCATTTCCTTGAGTATTGGTGATGTTATTGTGGTGTTTAGCTGAACAAATTTGCACTTACTTCACACCATTTACAATCTCACAAGGTCCTAATGTGCTTTGCAACACATAAATACTTTGCATCAAGTTTTGGAGTGTATTAGCTGCAAAGTGAGGTTGGACCAACTTGGATTGTTTCCACTACAGCATCAGAGACTGAGGGGTGACCTGATGGAAGTGTATAAAATGATGACAGGCATGGATAGCTTGGATAATCAGAGTGTTTCTTCCAAGGTGGAAGTATCAAATACAAAGGGGAAAAGGTTTAAAGTGAGAGGAAAAGGTTTAAAGGAGATGTATGAGGAAAGTTTCTTTTTACACAGAGGATGGTATGGAATGTGCTGCCAGGGGAGCTGGAAGAAGCAGAAATGTTAGCAAAGTTTAAGAGCCATTTAGACAAAGGTATGAATAAGCAGGGAGTAGAAGAATATGGTGCAAGTGGACGGAATTATCTTGAAATTGCATCACAGTTGGCACAGAAATGCGTCGAAAGACCTGTTTCTGTGCTGTATTGTTCTATGTATCTATGTTCTATGTATGTTTTACTCAAAAGACAGCAGTTTCGAGCAGCCCTCCAGCGTCAGACTGGATATTATGTCTCGAAAAGAATATTTGAACCACTACTTGCTTACAAAGCCAAGAATACTACATATTCAGCACCACTGACACTTAATAGTTGGAGAATTTGATAGAGTTGATAGATTTAAACTGTTTTATCTGGTTTGGGGCAGGACATTGAAAAGAAGCTAACATAATTCTAAATTTACAGTTAGCGGATGATGTCAGAAGCAGTTCTCCCCCCAAAGCAACTATTGAGCCCATTAGGACTTACAGAATCTAAAACAGGTTAATGAATTAAAGATACGCATCACCACAATAACAATTGCTATTTGCAATTATATAGTGGTGTAGCATATGATCCCAAAGCTCACAGGAGCGATATCAAACAAAATTTGACACCAAGCCAATAAGGAGCTACTAATGCAAGCGGTGAAAAGTTTAGTCAACAAGTAGGTTTTACACAGAATTGTGAAGGAGGAAGGAGTAGCAGAAAATCTTATAGAGAGAATTCCAGAGCATAGGGAACTGAAGGCATGGTTGCTCAAAAGGTCGGAACTGGAAGTGCCCAGATATCTGGGAAGGGATTGTGGGCCTGGGTAGATAGTGAGGGGTGAGGCTGCGGAAGAATTTGAAAAGAAGAAAGATAATTTTAAAGTTGAGATGTTGCCTAACCAGGAGCCAATAAAGATCACCAAGTGCAGGTTGGACTGGATTGAGTTAGGATGCAGACCCCAGATTTATAGACTCCAACCACGAGTGTGTTGGAATAGCTGAGTCTGGAATTAACAAAGCCATGACTTTGGAATAAGCAGCAGATGTGCTGAGGAATGGAGCTGGAACTTGTCACAGAGGAGGAAAGAGGCAGATATGCACTGGGAATGATCTAACTGAATGGCCGAACAAGCAGTTGCCTTTCCTTTGCTATCAGTTAGTCAGGTAAATGAGAGTTAACCAAAGGTGCAGTTACATTACAAAGTTCAAGTTGATGTAAATTGGGTCTGAAACTAATTCAGTCTCGTCCAAATTAGCCAACATTTTACAGACATACAGAACAGGCAATCACACCAGAACTGCAGTCGTGACTTACACTGTGAGATCAAATCTCAACATGTCACCCAGTCAGAAATATGGCATTAAACCTGGTATGGAAACAGCTGGATATCTTTTCTCCTTCAGTGAAAATGTACATTTAGTAGTTTCTGTAGCAAGAACCATGTCTGTAGGGTAAACTTCATATTTACAATTAGGGGGAGGTGGTATTATTAGTGAAAACGTCCCTGAACTAGTCATACAGCTCTTTAGGTTAATGTTTTGGGGACATCATTTCATTCCACAATACCAGGTGGTGATATTTGAATTTGATAGAAGTGAGAATTATCATCTAGGCTAAGGATAGCCGTGTAACCACTGCTAATTGTGATAAAAGCCCTTCTGGTCCATTAATGTCCTTTAGGGAAGCAAATTCATCATCCTGATCTGGCCTGTATGTGACTCCAGACCCACAGCAATGTGGTTGACTCTGAACTGCCTTCCTGGGCAATAGGTGGTGGCCTAGCCACTGACAATCATATCCCATGAATTAATTTTTTTTAAAAAATGTGTCAACTTTTTGTGTAAATTCAGAGGAGGCTTATTAATTCTCAAAAAAAGGAAAGATATGTTGATTGAGTTGATGTGAAGCTCTCAATTTAAGAATGTTCCATGTTTGAAATTTGCAAGTGGATTTGGCAACTTATTTCATAAACTTCCTGGACCACTTTGGACTCAGAAATACAGCTATAATCCATTTGCTGTAATGGTACTCATTAAGAAATCAAGTAACATAAGAGGACGATCGCTCCAAAAGTGGTTCATACTGATCTTATTAGTTGACTGCAATTAGCACTTGGTTCTGATCTGAGGCAACTTTGGATTAATGCCCAAATGATGTTGTCATAAAAGGTTAAATCTAGTTGCATGTGTTTGGTGTTTAAAACATTAAAAGGATTCCATGTGGCGAATGCAGAGAAATGTTTTTTATCCTGATGGGGGAATCAAAAATAGAAAGACATAAGCTTAAACTTAGAGCTGGGATACTCGGGAGGGTCCGTCTGCACGCATCATTGGACACTGGAAACCTTTGGAATTTATGCTGTGAATCCTGGGGGTCATTTGGAGCTTTCAAAGCTGAGATCAATCAATTTTTGATGGGCAGGATGGGGGAAGATTGACCAGAATCTAATTGAATAGCGGAGCAGGCTGGTGCTGAATTTTACTTCCCCCATTCAAAAGGCCCAGAGTTGATTCAAAGACGGTGATGAGTTGTTTGTATATTTAAAACTAGCTCCACAGGCTCAAATGGTATATTTGTGCAAAGCATAGGTCTCATGTTCATATAGAAATCATCCTCACTTCTTTGCTAATTTGTGTGTCACAGGTCAGGTCTGTTCCTTTTCTCTTGAAGTATTTTGTAAAAAACAATGAAGTTTGCTTACGTGGGTGACAAGATCTTCAAGTGTTAGGCATGAAATAGGAGAAGTGAAACTTGTTAATGGAAACCTGACATCTACACATTCAGGGAATGGAGTGTACAAGGCCTTACAACTGAGGAAAGGCAATGACATTAAATCATGCTTGAAGCATTCAGAGACATTGAACTAAAGAGCATTATGCTCCTCTGTGAGAGAAACAACCCACAAGTTTGTGCTCACGCTCTGCTCCTCACATCCTCAGGGTGTCCCACAAAGCTTTGCAGCCAAAGAGCTCCTTTCACGAATGTCGTCACTGTTTTATTGGGAAAAGCAGCAAGTTCGCTCATAAGGAGGCAATGTGTTGAATGGTTAATTAATATGCGTTGTTGATGTTGAGCAGCTCGGCCACTGAGAGAAATCTTCTTTCTTTGGAATTGTGGCGCTGGGGCCTTGTAATTCTTATAACAGGGAGGCAAAGCCTTGGTTTGATACCTGTCCTAGCAGAGTGGCATTGTAGACTGCAGCATTTCTTCTGGCTTGTGCTGTCAGCTTTGATTTTGTCGTCAAACCTCATCGCGGATCCAGTGTAGACAAGAGTGCAATCAACTGGATGAAGCTTTATTTAATGATGACAATAATAAGGACGCAGGATCATTTTGTGGTCAGCCACTTCCAAAGATCGTAGGCCAGAAAACCACAAACCCAGATATTTGGCCTTGTTAAATAAATGAAGAGACAAACTTTTAAATGATTAAATAAATACACACAGGTGAAAGCAATGGAGGGTGAAGCAAGTCATGACTTGCTTTTTTGATGCTATTTACGTTGCTATTCAATATGGGGAGGGACCATTTGTAAAATTTCCATTACAGGTGGGGAACTTCATTTGCTGAACTTCTTTTCTACTAACAATAACTTCCATTTATAGTTTGCCTTTAATGTAGTAAAGCAGTTCAAAACACTTTGTGCAAAAGTTGATTGGAAGAAAAATGAGTAGATAGATGGGGGCAGTAACTGAAAGCTCGGTGAATGAAAGAAGTGGTTTTTAAGGAGCATCTTGCAGGAGGAGAGAATGTCTAGAGATGGGAAATGTGTTCCAGAACTTAGAGGCTTGTCAGTTGAAGACACATCTGACAATGATGGAGCGATGAAAATCAGGTATGTGTAAGAAACTACAGTTGGACATTTTGGGGGAGGAGTGGAGGGTTGTAGGACTGAAGAAGGTACTTGAGATGGGGAGGGATGAGGCTACAGAAGTGATTTGAAGACAAGGAAGAAGCCTCAAGCTATTTTCATAGTGAATTAGTTATAGTATGCTCATAGTTATAATTTTAAGCATGTAGCAATGTCTCGGCAAACTTCAAGCTTCTAATAGCTACCTACCTTCTCATGCTTGCTTTTCTGATTTTGTTTCCATTCACTTTTTATAACTGTGCTCTCTGTCCTGCTACTGGAAGGCATAGCAATAACAGAATGATGGAAGTTGGGGATGCACAAGAAGTCGAGTTGACAAGTTTGTGGGAGCTTTGGAGGGGTGAAGGAGGCAAGAGAAAAATCAAGGGACTAGGCCACAGGCGATCTGGAAAACAGGGATAGAATTTTAAAATGAGGAATTACTGGACAAGAGCCAATATCTGTTATCATATCATTGAGTATAAAACCACAGTACCTCATCTGAAGAGTCCTGCGAGATAGTAATTTGTTAAAAAACAGATG